AAAGCTTTGCTTCTTCTGTGATTACATCCCGACAGCCACAAAAACTCATCCAGATGGGCCAAATATGTTGAGAATGTTAGATTTTATTTGTGTCAGATTTGAGGGATGTTCAGTCAAGGAGGAACGGCAGGAACAATCGCTCTTTACAAAATGGAAGTGTTATCAGGCAATCCGATCCTGCTTTATATTTGCTTGAAAACAATAGTGCCGGTAGCCTGCGGCTTTCTCTGATAGAGGGCTTTGACTGTGACACTCAGTCAATACACGCAAGCCATTAAAGAACAGATTACAGACTCATGAATAAACAGGCTGGGCGTTGAGTTGGCCTCGCAAAAGGAATTCAGCGCGCCGCTTGCATCCCTATAATTGACTGATTCATTTTTCACTTTAATTTATGAAGTGCAAACAGAGAGAAAATATTGATTTGTCATTATTACAGTGAAAAGTGGTTTTGCGTAGACCATAAATAACCGTCGGTTTTCCTGGTTATTGACTAAAATCTTTTTAAATGCTTGTTTTGTTTCATTTCCCTCATGATAATGAAGAACCAAAATAAACACACAGAGAAATGAAGATGATGGCATGTGAAGAGTGTCGGGTTGACAGCCTCAAGATTAGCTGTGCGTGGGCAGGTTAGAACATTAGATGCGGGTCGAGGCATGAGTGACTGCAGGTGGCAGTATTAACATGCAGGGCAAGTTTGGTTGACCATTCTCACCTGTCACAGTCAGAGCAGGGCAAAGGCTGCTGAATGCACCAGGGACAGACCCGAATATCTTGTACAGTTCCAAAAATACCCAAGAGAAACACCATACAATTGAACTTTCTTACTGGGTTTGTACAGACAATGTCAGCCGATGCAAAACTGACCACCATGATGGAAGGGCATTGCTGTGTGTTGCTAGGGTGTTTTAGTGATTGCTAAGTGGCCCAAGTCAAACGAGATGACAGGAAATCAGGCCCATATCTGAGGCCAAAAATAATACAATAAAATAAAATAAAAACATTTGAGAATTGGACTTTCCAAGTCAATAAAAACAAATAAAAATAAACAAAGATAAAAAATAAAACAATAAAAGTCTCCCCATGTAGTCAACCACGTTTTTGCAATCACATGCATGTAGTCTATTTTAGTATTTAATGCTGGTCAAAGCCAGTTTCTTTCTGACAGCCAACCATCATGTTTTTTTTCTTCCTTTTTTTCTAGTGAAGCCATAGTCTGGTTGGTCAAGCTACTGCAGTTATGATGCCTGATGGGTACACAAGCATCCCTTGCCAAGGATCAGCATCCAGAACAACATATGCTGATCTTTTCCTCAGGGTTGCACATACATTTACAATATTTATTAGGAAACTCATTAGCAATTTTGTCAAGAGGGTTTGGTGACATCAAAAGGTCGAAAAGGAAAGTCATTATACTCAATCTGCACTACAAGTGATGCAAGAAAACCAGATCACACCACAGTTATTTCACTCGCAGAGGAAAAATAAATAAATACAAATAAATAAATAAATGAACAAACCGTCCCTGAAACAGTACTCTGTGAAACCTAATTTACCCCTAAAGGATGCATATTAGTACTTAAAGGTACATATTAGTACCTAAAATATACATACAGTACAATATTTTTGCAATTTATTTTCTGAGAGTGTTTTAAATTATTGATACACTATTATAGTTTTTAAGTAAGGAATAATTGACTCCGGGCCGAAAAATAATGCACACCCGAGGTGTAATGGTGTAATTCAACTCCCGGAGTCAATTATTCCGATTATACTACAGTTACCACACCTCAAGACATCGATCAGATTATATATTTAAAGGCATTCGTCCGGTTTTTGTACTTAAACCGCATCTCATCCAACGCCTCTTTTGCTAGTTCCAAAACGTCATTTTAAAGCTGGTAATGGAGGCTTGAGCCGTT